ATTACCCAAGGCTGGACATTTCTCAGATGCTTCGCTTTTCATGCCCCTAAAAATCTAATCCTAGTATCTAGGAATTCAGAATATCTATATTTACTCTACCTAGGCAAGGTTGACATTTGTAACATTTCAAGTTGGTTCCTAGGCAAACTAATCAAATATTTTCCCTGCCCAATCTTCGACACTGAGTGAATGGTATTCATACAATGACTGTTAAGAAAGTTACAACCAGTGAGATTTGCAAGAAAAGGCTGCACTGTAGAGTACCTCTACTCAGGACTCCAGTGAGCCATGCCTTTTTTGGGGGTTCATCTTTTCAACAATGCCCTCTACATTTACTCCTCCCTCTGACAGGCATCTGCATTCTATAGCCACTGAACATGCTCACTATATTCTTTTTAAGGTTCACCCCTTAAATAAATTTTTTTGCTCTGAAAACTTGAGGTAGCCCAAAGCCTGCCAATCCCTTCTTTCTGTGCATGGATGGTGCTGTTTTGGCTGTACAAAGATCCACAATCAGAGAATGAATGCTTTGCTGTATATAGAGGAATACCAGCTTACCATTAGTATGCTAGTATATAGAAGAATACTATTACCAGCTTACAATACAAAGCAAGAGCATCAGGCAACATACATGACTTCTCACTTAATCTAAGGCACACTTACTTGAGAGCGAGTCCTACTTGAACTCAGTAGGGCTCACTTCTAAGTGAACACAGTCCAGCTGAAAAGGACTTTATATTAAGCTAGCCTTTGAAAATAAACAAGTTATTGAATAAACCTTAGCCCACACTGTCTAAAGCTACTACCTGCTTCCCCCCCAAAAAAATAATTATCTTTTCAAGATGTCAGACGATACAAGACAAGAAGCACCTGAGTGCTTGCATTCCTTATGATTTTTCACTTCTTGCTTCTTCAGGCATTTCACTCCCATTTCTATTACTATTTGCATTTATTTATTTTAAAAAACCATTTATATACCTCTCTGTCATTAAAATATATCAGCAGTTTACAACAATATAAAAACAAAACCACTAAAATCGTAAAAAGTGACAAACAAAAATAAATTAAAATAAATTTTAAAAAGCATCAATAAACCATTGTGGCAGATATATGCCTTCAAACGGCGGAAAGCAGAAAAGGACAGTGGATAAATCAGCAGGGAAGGGAGGTGGGAACTTGCAGAACATGCCTGATCGCTTAAGCATGGTTAGGGAACCTCACACTTGTGCTGGACCTACACATACAGTATTTTGGAAGGTTCTTTTGACCAGAACACATAGAAACATCAAGTTACATGTATGTATACACACAGAGAGTATCAGCCCAAGCAGATTCACTAAACAGGACAGCTCATGCAGCGGAAGGATAATTTACATCTATTCTATGAGGAATAGACACAACATGCAAAAGGAAGAGCAAGTTTGCAATTAAGACACTTTTATTTCAGACTTGTATAAAATAAAAGTAATAGGCAATGAAGAGTTCATGCAAGATTCATATCTGGGTCTGATTTGACAGTCAACTTTCTCCACAACCCTTCATTTATGCTGCGGCTGTTTGGTTCTCATTTTGATAAACATTAACCCCAGGAGCCTCTGCATCTGCAGAGCAGGAAGTGATGCCTTGATTTGCAGGTGGACCTTACACCTCTGCCACATTTTGTAAGCATTTTCTTCTGCCACCAATGCAAAAACAGTCATGCAAAAATATTGTAGAGTAATCAAACTACAGTACAAAGGCACAGCCCTCTGAAAACTAGGTTTGCTTCACCCAGTTCAGTCTCTGCAGAGATCTAAACTTCAAAATGTATAGGGGGTTCTTCATTCCTGAAATATACATGGCTGTTTTATTTATATTTTACTGACTTTGTGAAATGTAAGCCTCCTTGTATTGGCTATTCCTAAAGAGGTAGCAGATAAATAAATTTATACATAACTTATGCAGACCCTCTCAACACTTGGGCTCTTTGCTTTTTTCATGTTTGCCTTAACTGGGAACTACGAACAGATCTTAGTTTCATTCAACTGCAAGTTCCCTTATAGCCTTGAAAACAAGAGGAGTATTATCAAAAAGCTGGATACAATCTTAGTTACAGTGAGCATTTCTATAGCTTAGCACAATGACTTTTCAGACCTGTGGCCTCCCCACTCTCCCCCGCCCCAATAGGCTGGCTTTTGGGTTCTGTACTAGCGGTTACCAAGGAGTGACTGGAAACTAGAGATCCTCCCTCCATTTATAAATTCCAGACAACAAAAGAGCACAGAGAGAAGCAGCAAAGATTTCTGAGGATTCAAAAGCCCTTTATTTGACAAATGACTACATTACCCAGATCCCAGAAACCAAATTAAGTGAGGAGTGGGTGGGAGGGAGGAAAAAGTTGACACTACATTTATGAGCCTCAAAACTGCAAAACAAATGGAAAGAAAGTGAGAAGACTTGTGTCTGAAAGGTGTGGATCTGGTTAATTAGCAAAGCTTATATTTGCTAAATTAAATAGAAGAGAAAAGAGATAAACTGTTTTTCTAATCTCCAAGGGAGTTTGCTTTACAAAGGACAAATAGCTAGATTAACTTAAACTGAAAAAATTTCTTCAATGAATTTCCTTGTGTTTGGAAGTCCAGGATGCTGGTTATGTAGTCAACTCAAAAAGCAATGAAGAACTGCTTTTGTTCCTAGACAAAATGGGGAGGGTCCAGCACTCAATTCATAGAGAAGCAAAGAGGGCTCCTGATGTTCCCCTTAGTTACAATTATTACTGGAGTGGAGTGGTATGATTTAGCCAGATGAAGTCAAAATGAGGGGGCTTGTGAATCTTACCTTCTCCCTACCTTTCTCTCATCTTCCTGGAGAAGAGGGGGCAGAGAAGAGAGAACTATTATCTGTCACTGAAGCGAACTGAAATTAACAATGAATTCAAGCTACCCCATGGGGGTAAAATTACCATATGTCCTTCCTTTTAAGATAGTGCCCTTTATCTCAAATACATTACAACTCCAGAAGGCCATAATGGGTGCTTTCATTTTTTCAGAACCAATCAGGTTCCACAGGACAAGAAAACACAGATGGGGTAGCTCTCATTATAAAGTTTTCTATTAGGGTATGTCAGACCCACAAAGGGGAAGGAAGGAGAGAACACTTCTTTGTCAATTCATTAGCTAAATGAGGAATTTAAAGGCAGAGTCAGGCAGTGGAGGAGGGCAGGCTTCCATGCATGTTATAATTCCTATTTTATTTCCGTGTATCAGAAGGCAGTTGCCTAGGCAGCTGCAAAGTCTCAGCTTCTCTCTCACCTACCTCCACAACACCACATAATTCTAAACCACTCTCTTCTCTGTCCCTAATCACTCATAGACAGACACCTCTCACCCACCAAACAGACTCTAATCTTGCGCTAGAAAGACAGCTGCAAGGCCTGATCCAACTCATGTGAGGAGATTAGTCATACTTAAAGCGGAAGGGTCACTCTGAAGATGGAATTCACTTAACAGGGACACACCTGCCCCTTACAGTTTGCAGTACTGTATCTCTCAATGGGGTGGGAGAAAAGGTCAACACACAGTTGAAGAGACCCCTGAAAGAAGAATTGCCCAGATCTCAACACACAGTCCCAAACATTTCAATAACAGGAAAGGAGGAGTATTAATTCAGCATTAAAGGTTGGAGAAAGACAATGAGGAAGGCTAGCTAAGTTTCATGACCACCCGCACATCCCAATGGCTAGACAGCAAATACGGTAGTTTGGGAGAAAAAAAGGCAGATCTAAAATGGATAAGGGTGCCCTAATCTATGTCTCTACCCAATCTACCCCTAACCTCAATCCCTAAAACCATACAACACAATGGGGCTGGACAGGAAAAAGAACACCTAAGCACTGATTTCCCAGACAACAAAGACAAAAAAGTTCAGTTGTAGAACATAAGACTCAATCTCAGAGTCATGGGTTCAAACCCCACGTTGAGCAAAAGATTCCTACATTGCAAGGGATTTCATACAATGCTATGATTCTATGAAATGGGGGCAATTAAGACTAAGGTCCCTTCACCACCAACATGAAGAGCAGGGGACTGCAGATGCCATACATGCATAATCTTCCTTCTTTCGCCATCAATTTTTCATTGGTCTAAAACTAGTATGAACACTACACACAGGGAAGTAAGCCCCACTTAACTTGATGTGACTCAACCAGAGTCAACAGAACACTGAGCAACTCGATATATTTATTGTTGGATTATGTTGTTGGCGTGACCTTAGCCTAGCAACCCTGTGGACCCTTCCTTGGGAGTCAATCCCATAGCCCTACTTCCAAGTAACCACATACATGATCAAACTGCAAGCGTATTAAACAGCATTTGGGCTCCGTTGTTCGCTTTGTAAACAGGTTTGTGCTTTATCGACATTAAACATACCTTCTTCCCCCTCCTGTTAACAAAAGCAAACTAAAAACGCCTAAAGCCCAGAAGACCATCAAGGATCGCTAGGTATGGTTTAGTTTAATGAACTTCCTATGTGGCTTCTGAGCAGAGAAGCAACTACCGTAGTACCTTTACATCACAAGGATGGTGAACAGCAGCAACTGCCACCACGAAATATTAAGTGCCAAGATACTCGTGGCTAATATACTAAGCATTCCGCGTCAATACTGCAAACTTATTTTATTTGCTTACAGAATTTACACGCCGCCGCCCCGTTTTCACAAAGTTTTCTGGACGACTTTGCACTAAGTTGTGTGTGTGTGTTTTATATTATTAAAACAAACAAAAACAAAAAAAACTTATTCAGAGTAAAACCTTAAAGCCTGAAGTTACGGGGATCCAGCAGAAATGAAAAGCAACCGCACCCTTAAAGTAAACACATAAGATTTTAACGCCGGTGTTGAGGGGGGGGGTAGTAAATTTTAAATTAAATGAATCTAGTGGCGAGGGGAGGGAGACAGAGCCCCCCAACCCGCCGGTTTCCAAGGCAACGTGACAAGGCGGGCGCCCCCCGCTCCCCCCGCCTACCTCCTCCATCTCTCTGGCCATGCTCTGGAGCTGCTCCTCGTCGTCCAGCAGCTCGTTCAGCTGGTGAAGGCTCAGGCCCTCCAGCCGCCTCACGTCCACCGCCATGGCGGGAGAGAAGGGGGGCAGAGCAAGGCGAGGGAGCCAGCTCTCGCCCGGGCGCCGCTCCTCTCCGCTCGCCTCCCTCAGCCAAATCTCCGCTCGCCCGCCCGACTCCTGCGGCGGAGGCTGTTCCCGCCCCTCCCGCCGCCGCCGCCTGGCGCTCCACCGGAAGTGCTGCGGCCGCTCTTCCCTCGTCTCCTCTCCTCCCTCCGGGTTTCTCTCGATGCCAGAGGGAGGGGGAGGAGTGTGACGTCACCTGTCACTCCCTTCCTCCCCCCCCGGCACGTGAGGGGGGAGGGGAAAGGGAAAAGAGGCGGGAAAAGCGCGCGCGCGCTCGCTCTGAAGTGAACTTTCGGCACTTTGTTTGCAATTCTGTATTTAAATTTATGAGTGTTTAAATTTATGAGTGTTTCTATTTTTATTATTATTATTATTATTATTATTATTATTATTATTTTTATTATTATGTTATGTTATGTTATGTTTATGCATATTCCCTCCCCCCTCTCTCGCTCTGTAGATCTAGTTACCTCTTTTCCATCTGAAGATGCTTCAGGTGACTAACGAAAGTGAGAAACAGATTGAAAAATAAACAAATTAAAAACGCAACGTTATTTAAATTTTAAAAATGAAAGTTCCCCGAAAGAATCGTTCTTGTTAGTTTATCATACGTAGGGAATATGTCTGTGTGTATTCTGTATACTGTACAAAATGGGGTCAATCTGCATTTGTGGCTGAGGAAAAGTTGGTAAAAAATATATGAATACAGTACTCTCAACAATAAACAAATCAAGCACGCAGGAAAAGTGTAAAAATACAGAATGTCATCTGAAATAAAATTTGTTTTTCTCATTAGCTGTATAATATTTCTGTTTTTCATACAACTTGAAGATTTCTCTTTCAGTGGCTTTTCAACACCTTACTGATCAGCTGTTTCAGCTGTTCCTCTCAACTTCTTGCTGATCAGCTGCTTAAATTCCCACCTTGTGCTGATCTTTCCTTGCTGTTTTAAACTGGGCGTTGGGGCATCAGCATTTTAGGGGTTTGCTTCTCTTTTTACTCTTGCAATCTCTGCTGCTGCCGCCACCACCACCTTTTTTGTCTGTAAGTTGCTTTGGTTTGTTTTTGATAAAAGTGAAATCAATGCTAATAACAGCATGCCATTTAAAATGGTCAGAGATACTGATATGAAAAGATAGATGTTGTTATCTGGAAGGCAAATTTTCTACAACCTTGGTGCAGCCACAGAAAAGGCCCTACCTGCCCGCACACCAACAGAAAGAGGCACGTTGATCAGGGACACCTGAATGTACAAGCAGGATGAGAAGGCAGTCCAAGTGCCAAGCTACTTTTAAGAATTTCTCAAAGTGATTAAGGCCACAGCCACCCCACACATTTAAAGCACTCATACCACTCTTAACGGTCATGGCTTCCCCCAAAGAGGGTGCTGAGAGCTGTTAGATCCATCACAGAGCTACAATTTCCCCAGGATTCTTTGGGGAAATACATGATTGATAAAGAGTGCCTTCAAACATATAGTGTGGACGTGATCTAATTTAGGCCCCTGAAGTACGGCACGTGTCTAATGACAGCAAATCTTTATTGATTAATTATATGAGTTTTAATTGATTAAACATGCACAGTTTTACATATGCATAACACAAAACATGAAATGGGAGGAAACACATTTTCTTTAGTTTGAGATTATGAGATGATTGTAGAAAGTATAATTTTAGAAGACACAATTCAGAAGGGGCTAGCTCTAAAAAGAGGACCTGTTGCGTCTCCCATTTTTATAAGAGCTATTTGCAACCAGTCAGAATTTGCCTCCCTTCTTTTACTTTTGTTATGTATGGTCATGTGGGGTGGGGTACAATCTGTATATATGCCATTAATTTTAGTTACATAACTGGGAAACCACCTGTTCAATGACATAAACTGAACTTCCTGTGGCAAACTCCATCAAAAGCTTTTCTCTCTCCTCCTGCCTTCTTTGTGTGGGCTGATGAGTGACTGGCATTACATCTTCGCAGCTGCTGCTACCACACAGACTTTATTATGGGTTTTTTAAAGCGCATTGTTGCTATGACAGCATGAGCATCACTTAGCACCCTTGCATGTGCCAGTTCTAGTTAAAAAAGGAGTGGAAATGCAGCCAAATTAAAATTACTTTTAATCACACCAAAGGAACTCAATGGGAAGAATTTAAGTGCCTCTCTTTATAATAAAATATAACAGTGGACTTTCTTTTATTGTGGTAGAGTTATGTGGGGGGGGGGAATGTGCTTCAAATGTGCTTTAAATGTATAGTGTGTACACAATCTACTTTTACTTCAGCACTGGTGGTGGAACAGCATCCTCCAGCGCACCTGAGCAGGCAGCAGGCTAGTTCAGGGACTTCAGGGCAAGCTGTGGAGAACACAGGGACCTTTTCTCCAAGACCCCAACACTCCTTCCCGCCCCTTGCCGGCTCACCCTGCCTGCCTAGTGGTAAAGCCAGCCTTGCACCTTGACCTCTCTACATAATTCAATGCAATGTATTCAAGTCTTAAGGCAAGATTTGTTCTTCTTTTACGATCCAAAGCCAAGGTTTGTTCTCAGCCTGCCAATTGTGGCTTGTTTGAACAAAATAAACCACAGTCCCTGCTTTGGATGCTACACTAAGCCAAAGGTTGCAGATTTTTGCTCCTGCTCATTAGCAGAAAGGAGCAAAGCAGGATGGTGAATTTCTTGGTAAAATCAACAGGATGTAGTCACAGCTAGCTTTAGTTGGATTGGGGTCAGTGACTATTGGATCATCTATATTCTAATTTAGGGCTGCAAACTTCCATCTATCATATGAATTGGTTTTGAAATCTTTTTAATGAACTAAAAAGGCATCACATTAATTTTGTTAATTTAAATTCAGCATCAGTAAGGGGGAGGCTACTAATGAAATCTGCAGGTGGCAGATGCCATCTTGGAAGAGGTATTCCCTCTTCACACAGGAGGGAATAGCGCTTGTAAAATTGTACATGCTGCAGCAAACACATGGACTTTCTAAGAGCATATTTGTCTTCAAATTTATCATTTTAGGAAACGTAACTGTATCATATATATTTCTCATCTCATCTTAGCAGTTTGCAGAACAACTTACAGGACAAGGCTTTGAGTGGAAAATGTTGTGTGTTATTTAAGCAAGGTGTGGTTTCTTGTTTGTCTGGGAATCATTTGTGTGTGGACAGAATTATGAGAGCATTCACTTGTAGACATATCAACAATAGAGCAGCTGATCAATTTTAGCCAGGGTTTCCTGGTTTTATAACAAAGTTGTATAACTAAATATGCTTGGCTCACATAAAAAACATGGAGGGGGGTGCATTTAGAGACTCAGGAAAAACCATCACGAGGTAAACAGGAGAGTTACTATTCAATAAAAAAAATCTATGCATAGAAGCAGACAAAAAAAATGCTAAGTTCTTAATACCAATATAGAAACTACTTCCAAATGTTATATAACACTTCAGTGTAACCAAGAAACAGAATCCAGGATGCATCCATGCAAATATGATTTGATTCCAAGTAGTTCTCCCCCATTAAGGTTTATGGGACACAAAAAACTGGTTACAATTTGGGACACAGGTGAGAGGATAAACTTTAAAGCACAACAGAACTACAAGGAAGGAACATAGGAAGTTGCCTTATACAGGATGAGACCCATCGGTCCATCTAGCTCAGTATTTCCCACACTGTCTGGCAGCAGCTCTCCAGGGTTTCAAACAGGGAGTATATCCTAGCTGTACTTGGAGATGCTTGGGATTAAACCAGAGACCTTCTGCATGCATGTCAGATGCTCCCCCACTGAGCTACAGCCCTTCTCCAAAATGGAACCCTTCTTTTACCAAGTCTTCCTCTGATACCGCTTTCTTGTAGCTGAATTTTTTAATGGTGTGGTTTTCCCCCCTCTGGTTATTGAGTCCTATTGAGAGAAAAATAGTTTAAATTGGTTTGGGTGGAAAAGGAGCATGGGGAGAATAAATGTTTAGCTCCCCACACCTCCGTTGCTTTAGTAGTCCTCTCCAAACCCTTGCTTTGTATGCCTAGTTTGGGCACCAGTCTCTCTGCATGTACACAACATGAAAATGGGGTCTGACTGCGCATAATGCTTAGCAAAAGCTCTTAAAGTGCAGAGCAGCCCCACTTGCACCTCACAGTAAATCAAAGTGAATTATTTACAGCCATCTCACCTCTTTCATTCTCCCTGCTTTTGTTGAGGAAACAAAATCACATCCCCCGATTTCACATTACATCCAAAACCAGGGATCATAGTTTGTTTCATTCCAGTAAACCACAATCAGTAAAGCCAAGAACAGATTGCGGTTTGTTGGAAATGAAACAAACCATGACCTCTGGTTTGGAAGTAATTTAAAGCCAGGCATTATGGTTTTTTCCTGCAACCGTGAGGAGAAGTGGAAGAACCCTAATGGGTGCATTCATGGTAAACTATTTACTGTGACATACTGTGGCCTGCAAACTAGGTCAATGTGGCTTCAGTACTACAGGACCACATGTAGTGATTGCTGGGTTTGCTGAAAATGGCACAAGAGGCTCAGCTAGCAGAAGGACACTTCTAAGCAAGAACTATTACAGTTAGTTCTGTTTGTGTTCATTAAGAGAAGGTGGTGCTAAGGCCTACAGCAAAGATTGCCTGATTGGTCAACTTCAGGACAGCCTTTCTGTTTCATCAGTGGAGCCTTCCGCTGAAGGTCTCTCTTCCACCTGAAGATCAGAGGGACTGACCACCCTCCTTTACTGAAGGTGGTAAATGTAGCTGGAACTTGTGACTGATTTGTTGTTTAATCAAATTGAGTTGTATCTTTCTCCCTTTTGCAGTTTGGATTCCTATGGCATTATCTGTTGAATCCGTAAGCTGATATGTATCTGCGCTTACAATAAGTGCATTGCGTGTATATGCATATGCAAACACAGCATCCTTGCATACCCCACCCATTATAATTACAGGCCATTTGTTCATTAGGAAGAATTGGCATCCAGCCAACTTGTATTTAACTGTGATGTGACCTGATTTATTTGTAAATGTGCTCTCTGCATGCTCACCCACACCCTTGACCTGGTATCCTTTCAAGGTTGACTTCAGCATACTTGTTGGGTATATCTGCAATCTATGAGTCACTTTCACAAGAGTCTGTTTGTACTGGAAATTTCAGAGAGAATTTAATTTGCAAGTCTAATCTTTGGAACTTTTTAACCCTCTTCTGAGGCAGGTTGCTAAATCCACACAGCCTGCTCAAGTTGCCCTAGAGCACATTTGCTTTCTGCTTTGCAAAAGAATGCTACTGTACAAACATGATTTTTTCTTAGTGGTGCTACGAAAACAGAACATCCCTCATAACTCAAGATGTGCATAACCTAAATGAGGCATGTCTATGGGAAAAGGTGCACAAATAAAGCTTTATGTGAAGACAGATGAAACATTTTGTAGAGTGTTAATACAACTCTGGAGCACCATCACTCAATTTCAGGACAGAATCAACTCACTCTCTCCTACAATAAAGTCAAACTCTGAAAAAAATTAATACATTATGCAAGTGTGGATATCGCAGAATGAAAAGTGTCTATGATGTCATCAAGACACTGTCCTACAAGCCTCAGCTGTTCTGTAAGTTTTATTTTCTTACAGAAGGCAAACTGGAACTATGAATGACAAGGTGCTCACATGTTGTTTAAAAAAATTAGTGGATAGCAGGTCTTAAGCATGAATAGAGGGACAAGAGTGGCAGCTGATTGAGTGTCTGATGTGATGCAGTGGAGGGTGGTCTATACTGAGTAAAACTTGGCTGATTAGAACCCACAGTCTATTTGCTTTGGACACCCCAGAATAAGACACTCATCTCTTCTGAACAGGGTACAGAAAACACATTTTAAATTAATCCCATTAGGAATAGGTAGAGCTTTGCCCATCTGATACCAATAAAAATCTATATAAAAACCAAACCAATAAGAGGTATTAGGGACTAGCCCTGGGGATCATACTATTCTTGTCCCTCATTAGGGTGCCTGTGGCCTACATCACCTCTGATAAGGATCCTTGCCAACTGGCAGTCATGATGTTTGCTGAAGCATCTTTTCAGAACACAGCCTGAAATTTGTCACAAAGTGACAGGAGCATAAAGCTTATATACAAGTGTGATAAAAATAATATTCAGGTCAGAAGTAGAGTGTCTGGATGTATAGTCACTTTCGCAGCTACTTGCATACCTCCCCATGAATTTTTATTGCTTTTCAAAATTGGTAACAAATTAACATCTAATTAATGATATGTAGTAACCATGTACTCTCCCCCTCTTTCACTGTCCCGCCTTAGCAGCAATAAACCTGCAATTAACAGTCCAATAGTCTCCAGCAGCTTTTGTCGTGGTCAAGTCGACTGAGGGACCTTTTCACTTTAGCCCTATTGTCCAAAATCGAAGGAGATTCGCAGCAAACTTGGTTGTTGACCGATGCTTTCTCCAGAATGGAGTCATGACATAACCTAGCACCTTGTGCCTCATTTCTCAGCAAAGTCTTCCATCAAAGACCAAAGCAGGCATTAAAAGGTCTCTGTGGGTTTTTGGCAGCCCCCCCCCCATGACTGCATCAGAAGGATCGAGGGGGATGTTAGACCCTGCTTTCCCCCAATATCTCCACCCCAGCCCCAGCCCCAGCCCTGAGTTCAGGGGAGCAACTTGCCAAGTTCACTTCTGGAACTGGAACTACATGCATACCTCCCTAGAAGAGCCATCAAGGGGTTTTCAACTGCAGAGCAAGCTATTTTCCTGCCTATGCTTCTTCTTTTTAATGACATGTCTTTTTAATGACATGATTTTAAATCTAGGATGGATATTTTTGCTGCTCTGGGCACGCTGGATTCATGATTGTTATAAGGTCCGGCCAACCAGCGCTCTGCACAGCCAGCTTCAGCTGGAGACAGGAAGAACCAGATGCTCCTGAGCTGGATTCCATTGGTGTATCTGGCCAGGAAGGAGCAGGTGGAGATTCCTGGAAGACTCCCTGCTCAATATACTTGGCTGTGTCAGATGTGCTTGAGCACCTCATTGTGAACCACTTCCTCCTGGCTTATATCTTTCTTTTGGCAAGTGAGGCAGGATACAAATTCACCACTATATGGGAGAGACTGCCTAAATGCACATACAGAGCCTGGCTTGAGGGTGTCCTTGAACTCTGATTATACCATACCTCTTGCTTGCCCTGAATGAAAGGTAGAGTGCAGTGGAGGGTAGTCCATTAGGGCTAATTAGTCTTGATTCCTCCAGCTATATTTTGGTCCCCATGTGCCAGACTTTCTATTACAGAAAAACTGCATTTTAATTGTTAGATGCAGATTTTGCTGAGCGATTTTATTGTACCGAACCTTTCAGAATTTGGTCTATATGCCAATAAAGGTTTGAGACTGATTGATTGATTGTATTGAAAAAGGTTCCCCACCCCTGGTTTGCTATGAAATGCAGAAGGCTTCAACCTCATTAGTAAAGGGTGAACCAACAGCATTACGTTGGGCAGCATTTACAGCCTGTCAATAATTATGTGATTATCAGCAGTAGACCTCATGTTTTCAGTTGTTTCAAAACAGTGACACTGGCTTCTGACTAGCAAATGCACACCAAGCAGCCAAACACATGGTGAACTGTTCACCATCAAGAACAATGTCCCCTTTTGTTATGCGAGTCACTGGAAAAGCATGAGTGAGAAGTGCCACCAGTGGTAGACTGCAGGACTTTGGAGGCAGAGGTCCAGGACCTCACCAAGCAAAGTGAGGAGGGCTCTCAGGTGCAGCATAGCGGGCTTAAAATACGCATTGCTATTGAAAAAAGAGGGCTGCCATAAGACGATTAATTCCAAAGACTAGCATAACCTAAGTGTGCCCCTGAACACTGGCTCTAATATATTGAGAAGAGGGGTTCTCTCAAGCATCTGGCCCTCCCTGGGATTCCCTTTTCCCGAGGAGGCGGAATGTGCAGGAATTCTATCCCACAGTTTCACCGAGCTTTGTGAGTGCTCCATGCAAAATGAGAATAGCTGGTCTTGTGTGCTTGGCAAATGCCGAATCTCTTGCCCATGTGGAGGTAGCCATGCCAATAAAACACAGAAAACAGCAATAACCCTTCAAGAGTCTCAATAAGCTGAGTGTCAGAGGTAGTCTTTATTTATTTTGTAAAGTGTTTGTAAAACATCACTATTTATAATTTGCCAACAGCAAAAAAAAATCTGCCAAAAACACAGCAGCATCAAAATATCAGAAAGGAACTAAAATGAGCTAAAGTGCTTGAGCTTATTTTGCAACTGAGTTCAACTGGAGAGACTTGAAAGAGAAAGATTTTTAAAATTGCTCAATCCTCAATTCATAGTCTAGTTATTTTGGTAATTTCCCACCCTGCCACCTGACTCTTTAAGCACAGTTTTGGATGCCTGTGAGCTCTTCCAAATCATTTACGAAACTGTAAAATGACTGGGTCAAATTAGGCAGTGCAAAGTGGAGGTATAACATATTTCCTCCTTGCCCCCCCTTGCTTTGCTACAACAACAACAAAACACAACACCAAACAACAAAATGAACAGAATAATTCAGGCAACCAATGCCTGACGATTAAAGAATGTAAAAAATGATTCCCAGCCCCCAGCAGTTATTTGGGATTGCTGGCAGAACCCACACCTTGAACAAGATGTTGTTGGGATTCCCCAAACAAAACTGGTGACAAGCCATTGGGAAGGTCTCTTCTGCAAACCTCATTGAAACAAATAGAGAAGAATTGGTACACTGCTCTTACTGACGTAGGAAAGTTTCCCAGCGGATTTTTTTTTTTGGGGGGGGGGTGTTTCCTGCCTGACTTTATGCATTGAAACCAAATGAAAAAGCCTTGACTGCCCTCACAAAAACAAAGTTTTGAAAACAGGATTGTCTTATTCGCTGCAAATGTTGGTACACAGACTGACAGTATGCAACAACTGGTAAGTGCCAACATATATTTAAACCATTTAAGTTGTTTCTGTTTTAAAAGTGTGCACCTCCAAATATCAAACGCTAACCAAGGGAAGAAGAATCCCTCTCAGGGTTTATTATCATATATGTAATTGTCTGTAGGCCAGGGACACAATCCACCATTGATCCCCATCTGCTGCAGTGCCACTTAGGGGACTGGAAGCATGGCTTTTCAAAGGAATGATTCTGGATGCTTCCTTACTTCTAAAAAGCCATCATGCATATTATTCACTATGTGAACATGGCACCATATTAAGTTGCACACCAGCTCAGAGGTATCTAGAACCACTAGCCATTTTTGCAATTTTGGGGTCTAAGATGGTCAAAACCTGAGCCAAGTGCCCTAGAGAATGTCTCTTTTAGTGAGGGTGCCATACTTGAGGCATGGCATTAGCAAGGGTGTCTACAGGCACTGGAGTGATCCCAAAGAGCAACTGCTGGCTTAGTCCCAAGGCAACATTTCCTTTCCCAGTCCACACAATCACCCTCAGAGATCCTCAACTGATCACCCTTCTTCCCTTACAATTGCATGCACCTAAAAGAAACAACCGTTTATAAATAACAGCAAGTTTTGCATGCGTATCAGTGGGAAAAGAAAACACAGGGGCTGTGGTGGGAATTGTTGGCCCACTGGTTCTCCTCTCAGATCAGCAGGATACTGCCTGCTGGGAGTCATGTGCACCGGACATTTAGTGCATAACACTGTAAACGGTCAGAAAACATTGGTGAAGCTGTGCTAAAGAGAGGAGGTTGACTCTTCCAGTGGGATGCCAATTGGATTCCATAGTGCTTTCGCCTCTGAGCTCAGCTGACAGCCCATCTGTGCAGTTCAAAATTTTCAAGTCCGGCACACATGACATCAAACTCTGAACTCTTCAGCCAGTCCTGTCTTTGAAGACTCTCTCCGGATTCCAGGCAAGCTGCCATCCTGACAGCTGTCCCCCGTGCCGGACTCATGGCCGAGAATCTGTCTTTGCACTAGCTTGTAATAAAGGCCACCTTCTTCCATGAGCTGCTTGTGTGTCCCTTGCTGTACCACACAGCCCTTGTCGAGAACAATGATATTGTGTGCCTTCTCCACAGTGCTCAGTCTGTGGGCTATGACAAGCACTGTGTGGCCCTGGACATCCCCATAAATGGCTTGCTGGATCTGCCAAGAGAAAGAGGTTGTTAAAGAAATGCCTCACAAACGTCGTGTTGATTTCCTTGTGCACATGTCCAGACAGACCTACTCCAGAGATTTATGACAGGTAAAGGGACCCCTGACCATTAGGTCCAGTCGTGACCGACTCTGGGGTTGCGGTGCTCATCTCGCTTTACTGGCTGAGGGAGGCGGTGTACAGCTTCTGGGTCATGTGGCCAGCAGGACTAAGCTGCTTCTGGCGAACCAGAGCAGCACACGGAAATGCCGTTTACCTTCCCGCTGGAGCGGTACCTATTTATCTACTTGTACTTTGATCTGCTTTTGAACTGCTAGGTTGGCAGGAGCAGGGACTGAGCAGCGGGAGCTCATCCCATCACGGGGATTCGAACCGCCAACCTTCTGATCGGCAGGCCCTAGGCTCTGTGGTTTAACCCACAGCCCCACCCGCGGGTGACAGGTAAATTAAATGACAGGTAAATTAAAACAAATAACAAAAATACCACCAAACTCCTCCCTCTCAACACACACACAAACCAGGTTTGAAAATAGCCAGCCAGGGGCAAGTAACAGCAGCCTGCAGTTGACAAGGCAGAGAAGCTGATGTAAAAAAAACAGTTTAAACTGAAGCCTCTGAAGTCCACATCAATACTCGGGTTCCCATATCTCTGTATTTTTTGCTTTGAATTTGCCCTGGCTCAATGTTTGCAGCCGGATTCCTCCCTCCCTCTAAGGAGGGGGCTATAGCTCAATGGCAAACCACCAGATGTTGCACAGAAGGCCTGATGGTCAGTCCTTGGCATTAACAGGCAGGGCTGAGAAAGACCTCAGCCTGAATTCCTGGACAGCTGCTGCCAGTCAACAGGGGGCAACATGGGTCCATCATGGTAGCACAGTATGGCAAGCCCTTAAAACTGTATAATTGGCACCCTAATGCTATGCCTGAACAAGAACACTCCCTCCAAACAATCATGCTCACCGCATGTTCACTCTCTGCATCCAGGGCACTTGTGGCTTCGTCCAGTATCAGGATTGGTGGGTTTCTGATTAAAGCTCTCGCAATAGCCACTCTCTGCTTCTGACCACCAGAAAGCTGGGTTCCCTTTTCACCAGCTTCTGTTGGTTCAAAGGAAAGGGAGGAATCAGCATTAAATCTAAAGGAGAAGGGTGGGCTAAGACAGACAAGGAAGCCCAAGGTTAAAAGGTGCTGAGAAGTCAGCAGGGAGGTCTTATGCAAGCCACATTTCTCACTCTCAGCCCACCCTCCATCATCTGCAACGTGAAAATAAAACTGACAGACCTCATCGGCTTGCTGTAAGGCAGGAGCGGGGAACCTTTTTTGCTTCATGGACCACATGCTTATCAGGATCAGCCTTGTGGGTCAAATTTGACAGCTGGGTAGAGCTGCCCTCTCAGTAACATCGGGTGCAAGTGGTTTGAAGTTCCAAAGTTGGAACTTCAAAGCGCCTTGCAAGACATTGCTAAAATAAAGTTTTTCCCCCTTAATTTAACAGGGGATTCCATTGCACATCCCCTGTTAAATGTAGGGGGAAACTCTTTGTTGCAAGGTGCTTCAAAGTTTCAAATTTGGGATTTCAAAACACCTTACATCTGACATCATGGTGAGGGCAAGTCATTCAGGAAAGAGTCTGCATGGAATCCTGCCAATCTGAGTGGGGTTTAACCCCCACTAATCAGTTGATGAGTGTGCGCTAAATACTACTGTTGTGGCCGTGTGCCTGTTTCCTGCTGAAACCAAGGGTGCACAGCCAGTGCAGGATTTAACCTCGTCCTCCCACCTATCACGTGATGTCACAAGTGGTGAGGTTATGGGGAAAATGGCCTCACAGGTCAACGTGAACCCCTGGTGGGCCAAGAGTGGGCTGGAGTTTCCCTATCTCTGCTCTTACCAGGACATATTAAGGTGCTGTAAGGGGATGGATTAAAAAACCACACCAAACCCTTACCCACTACTCTTATGACTGGGGTAGTGGGAAGGCCTTGTATTAGTACTGATTCCCTCTGTCAGTAACCACAAGGATTCTCCAGCATATCTTTGCTTAAATATAATCTGCTTAAATATAACCTGAACCTTTTTCCTTTGTTTTGTGTGTGTAATTTCAGTTTCCATGTGAATGTCTTGTTTCCTCTGTACTGTATTGTTTCTTTATATTAATATGCTATTTAATTATGCTTTTGATTAAATAAAAGTGAGTATTTTTAATCAAGTGGTTAAATATAAGACCAAAATATGCATATGTGTGTATGACACAGTTTGAGAGGGGGAAAATACATGAGCACACACTTGTTTTAGGGTGTCTGGGAGCTCTGCACACAAGAAGCAGAGGAGCCCCCATCTCCTCCTCCATCCCACAAGATCACCACCACTTGCAAGTAAGTATGAATCTGGGCTCAGCTGCTGATTTCTTGAAGACACAGATAAGCAGAGTTTCAATACCTGTGTGGTAGCCATCCTGTAATTCCGTGATAAACGTGTGGGCGTTGGCCTTTTGGGCAGCATGAACGACTGACTCATAAGGGACAGAGGCCAAGCCATAGGAGATATTTTCTGCAATAGAGCGAGCGAAAAGGACCGGTTCTTGGCTCACCAGAGATATCTGCATAGAGAAAGGGAGGAGGGAGGGAAGGGAGGAAGAAGAGTCAGCTTAAATGACTATCCTTGCTTGTGAAGGCATCCGTTGTTAAGCAGAGTGAATTCCAAGCATTAATTACATGACTTCATTGTCCTGTGTGAGTAACACAGCCTCTTATAACCTCCTCTTGCAAATATCTGTCATTAGCCCTGCACTGCACTTCCTCACCAAACACTACTGCAGAGTGGGATGCTCAATGGCTAATAGCTACGCAGTCCTTTCATGTTTGAAAGGTAAGAGGGAGAGATTCTGAGCAGGTTCATTCAATTTAATCAGTTCTGCAACCTGTATAAATTATATTATTTTCCATAATGTCTTCCGGTTTTGCAAAATGTAGGGAAGAGGTAGACAGGGCACTACCTCCAAAAGCTTGTTCAGTTTCTGAGGTTTCAAACCTATTTTCGCAGTCATAAGGACTAGAAACTCTCCTTCTTTCTCTTCTTGAAAGTAAAGTAATATTTTCAGGAAGCTCAAGTCTGCACTTCAACAGAATTGGCTCAGCCTTGCCCAAGGCCATTTAAGAGCTAGAATACGGTTACCAGCAAGTCGTACCACTGAGTGCAGGTACTTGTGCTCGTACATGTTAATAGGCTGTCCATCCAGCAGGACCTGCCCATCTTCAAGTGGGTAGAAGTTTTCCATGATGCTGACACAGGAACTCTTCCCGCTGCCTGAGGGCCCCACCAGCGCAGTCACTTTCCCAGGATGAAGCGTGAAGGAGACATTCTGTAAAGCAAAAGTATGTCTCTGCATGACCAATAGGGGTTATTTCAGCCTTTCCCCAACCTGCTGCTCGCCATATGTTTTGGACTACAACTCCCATCATCCCTGACCATGGCAGTGCCACTTTGTTCTTTCTTTATAATATATGTATTTTATCTTCTCTTCCCACTGCCAAAGTCTTTAAGTAACTATTAGAAACTGGCTATCCATGGCAACCAAAGCCAAATGTGCAGCAACAAGGCAGGTGTGAGAAGCTTACCTGCAAGACCTGGGTTGCAGGTCGAGTGCGGTAAGCAAAGGTGACATTCCTGAACTCCACTTTGCCTTCTAGCTGGTTGGGGGCCAGAGTGCCATCGTGCACCATGGTCGGCTTGCGGTCTATGAACTCAAATACTTTCTCAGCAGCTCCAACACCTTGCATCAGCCCACTGTAGACTGAACCAATAGACTAAAAAAATAAAAGAAGTGGAGGACATTACAATTCTAAGAACCTCTTAAATTACACCAAGGAAGGAACAAATCAGGAACATTTCCTGCTTTTGAAAAGATGTTTTGCAAATAAGTCGTCATGCGGTGAGAAGGTTCATTCAGAATTAAAAGAAGGCTGTCCCAAGGGGTTAAGCCAGGAAGGCATGGTCAATGCTGACATTTACTCAAGTTGCCTCACTCAGTTTTTGACACACCTTCACTAATGGGCACTGTTAGAGGGTGACGGCAGCCCAGGATGTGTGTGGCTCAGGGGACCTGAGCATTGGATCTTCCGTGCTGGATCCCTCTTCCCTTCTTTCGCCTTTTATCTAACTTGGAAGTTTTACGAGATGGTCTTTTAGCAGACCAGTGGAGAGGCACTGTGGCACATCTCACCCTTTCCTCCACAGTGGAAGCCACTGTGAGAAGCTGGACTATTAAGGATCTTCAGCAGGGCTCTTCTTACGTACTTAAGCCATCATGTTTAATCAATAGCGCTTTTAAAAAATGATTATTTGGTGTATGTTTGAAGCTAGCTAAGTAGTTGCTGGACTCCAGCTCTTATCAGTCCCAGCCACCATGGCCAATGGTCAGGGATGCTGAGAGTTGTGGGTCAAGAGTATCAATTTTAAATTATAATTTAAATTAAATAAATAAATTTGGTTGCCCCTAGATCCTTCTTCATCAAAAGCATGACTGCACATATGGCCCATCTAATTCAGCATCCTGTTTCTCACAGTAGCCAGCCAGATGCCTAGGGCAAGCCCCAAAGCTGGACCCAAGCTCAACTGCACTGTCCCCACTTTCAGTTGCCAGCAACTGGCATTCAGAGGCATACTGCCTCTGACAGCAGTGGTAGAATAGATAATCTGCTAGTACACTTATGAAGATATAACTATATACCCGAAGCTCAGGCTAGGCTGGAGCCCCACATAAGACTGGAAAACAAACACAGTCCGTGGGAGAATGCTGAAGACCCTGATAAGAAAGAAACTCCACATAGATCAGTTACTTTAGCTCTCTTAAGACTGGGACATAGATGCTTTCAGATGGGTGAAACTTACCTCCATGCAGTCTCCAAGGACAAATTCATAAATAATGAAGGATATCAGGTTCCCACTGGTCATCTGGTCAGTGATCACCAGGTGGCCTCCGTAGTACAAAATGCTGACTTGAACAATGAGGAGTGTTAGCTGAAACCGAGCACAGAATCCAGATTCAAAAACAGGAGACAGAGTATCTCCTGGGTTCAAGAAACTGAGGTTTCACCTTAAATGGCAACCATGTTTGGGTTGGTGTAGACAAGATGAAGGCAAGGGACAAACTGAAGCAGTGAGGGGATAGAGGGCATTGGTCTGAGCAGCAATGCACTATACCAGGAAGAGGAGAAGTTAGTGACATGTTTGGTATACAACGGATAGCGTGTAAAGCATTAAGATTCATGAACAGCTAAATGCAGGAATAAGGGCTGGATGAGTGGTCTTTTGGCAACAAAACATGCAGGGAGTACAACAGTATCTAAGGAAGACATCCACTGTGCTGTATATAAATATCCAGGCCAGGATCAAACTCAGGGACAGGCTAGTTTGTAGTAGCAGGAACCAGCTGTGCACAGCACCTGTGGCCTGGTGCTTGCAATATAACAAAACAGCATTTCCCTCCTCCCTAGAGCAGAGTTTGGTCTTCATTTTAAATATAGCAAGACTGATACCTAACTCCCAGTTGCACTGGACTTGAATTGACTTTATGTATTGTATTGTTCTAATTTTCATACACATACACACACACATTTTTATATATGCAGCTGTTCTATATATGATTTGACTGTATTGTAAATCACTTTGGGATCATGAGAAGAGATTCATAAATGAAGTACGGTAGTATAAAAATAATAAATTTCATGGACCGGAATCCACCTTATCAGATGCATGAAATGTTATGCTATGTTAGCAGGGGGGCATTTATGCACACACACGCTTATCTGCTAACATAAATATAAATATTTTTAAACACTTAATTGTCATAATCATGCAACAAATATATATTGTTATTTGTTGGGGTGCCAGAGTTTTGTGGGTGTAAGGCACCAATAATTCTTGGGTTTAGTAAAAGTTAGAATTAATCAAGGTTTGATTAAACTGTGCCAAACGTGGCTGGATGCAGTTTATGCTAATGAACCAGCCTGGCAGGTCTACATGAGTGTAAGCCATTAAGAAACAAACACCAGTGACCAGTGGCAGAGCTACCTGCTCCGGCACCAGGAGTGGCGTACATCCGGGGGTGTGGCTGGTGCACCCACTGCGGGGAGGGGGGGCATGGCACGCATTGGGGGATACGCAGCAGGTGGCGCATGTCCCAGGGGGCACGGTGCATGTTGGGGGTGCACGGCAAGTGGCGTGCATCCCAGGGTGTGAACAGTGAGTGGCGAGCGTCCCAGGGGGCAGGGGTGGCCATGATGTCACCCCTGGTATGCCGCCTGTGGTGGACGACCCCAAACCCCCTCCTTCATCTGCCAGTGCCCGTGACAGCCCATCAAGGAAGCCATAAATAGAGAGCAAAGACTGCCAGACAAGGAGGGGAGGGGCCCCTCTCTCAGTTGTGCGTTGGTGGGCAGAGACCAAAGTGGTTAGGATTTCTGGGGAGGTTTGACAAGCAGAGAAGGGGGGGCAGGACACGATGTGTGGATGCTGCGCAATCCCTTCATCTAGCTTCAGGTTGCGTATGTGTGTAAATAAACCAAATAACATGAAGATACCACACACTGTGCTGTGCCTTATTCCCAAAGGAAACACAGGCCTGGGTGAGGGCCTGGAACCCCTGAAGCCTCTGGCACTGCTGAAAGGGGATTGGGGTGGCGTGTAAATCACACTCTCTCTATATTAGGCCTGGGCGATATATCGATACAGTGGTACCTCAGGTTAAGTACTTAATTCGTTCTGGAGGTCCATACTTAACCTGAAACTGTACTTAACCTGAAGCACCACTTTAGCTAATGGGGCCTCCTGCTGCTGCTGCGCCACTGGAGCACGATTTCTGTTCTCATCCTGAAGCAAATTTCTTAACCTGAAGCAATATTTCTGGGTTAGTGGAGTCTGTAACCTGAAGTGTATGTAACCTGAAGCGTATGTAACCCAAGGTACCACTGTATTTTGCCCAGGACTGGTATGAGGAGAAGACCACAATGTTGGTTTCACTCAGCGGTACATTGCTGATGAAACCGCCACACGCCTGAGTCCCTCTGTTAGCAGCGCAACTTCATCCAGGGGGTGCTGCTAGCAGAGGGACCCGCAAGAATGGCAGTTTCACTTGCAATATACTGCTGAATGAACTGACTTCGTGGTCTGCCCTCATATAGCACAGAGGGAGAAACAAGCTGTACCATCGAGGTGCTGATACGACTTGTTCCTCCCTCCGCATCTTTAAACTGCTCAGCCAAAGGGCGCCTGGTTGCCATTCCCTTCAGCCAAGTATTTAACAGAGCCCCCAATCCAGTGCTAGCTTCCCAAGCTGACGGTGAGGTAGGGGCTCTGTGAAACTGCCCCACCCAACTGAGCACCCCTGACGCCTCAGCAGCATTGGATCAGCTGGTGTGGGGGAGGCTTCTTCTACACCCCAGCTGCACAAAGCCTGAAGCTGCTGAGGAGTTGGGGCTGACCCAATTGGGGTGGGGGGAGCCCTCCCGCCGGCAGCTGAGCAGCGGCCTGGGCCAGCTGCATTGGCCCTAGCCTACAAGGACTCGAGCTCTGGTGGCGAGAGCTGCGGCAGCTTCACCTGTGTCTAGCCGGCTGGGGCCAATGCAGCTTGTTTTAACATTACGGTATATTGCCAATCAAAAGGGACGCGGGTGGCGCTGTGGGTAAAAGCCTCAGTGCCTAGGGCTTGCCGATTGAAAGGTTGGCGGTTCGAATCCCCGCGGCGGGGTGCGCTCCCGTTGCTCGGTCCCAGCGCCTGCCAACCTAGCAGTTCGAAAGCACCCCCGGGTGCAAGTAGATAAATAGGGACCGCTTACTGGCGGGAAGGTAAACGGTGTTTCCGTGTGCTGCGCTGGCTCGCCAGATGCAGCTTTGTCACGCTGGCCACGTGACCCGGAAGTGTCTCCGGACAGCGCTGGCCCCGGCCTCTTGAGTGAGATGGGCACACAACCCTAGAGTCTGGCAAGACTGGCCCGTATGGGCAGGGGTACCTTTACCTTTATATTGCCAATCTGCAATGTCTGGCTGGTGATACATCACACTGTTGAAAATCGAACATCACCCAGCCCTACTCTCTCTATATGAAACAATATATATATATATATTTATCCCTGACAGGGACTCATGCAACTTCACATGCATGCATGCACGCACACACACATTTTTAACAGAAACAATTATCATCACCAGGCATCTGCTGACATGGATGAAAGTTTGTGCCATGATACATTTGTCAGTCTTTAAGATGCCATAAGACTCTTTTTGTTTGCACAGAACCCACCCATGATAAGGGGACAGGTAAACATGACGACAACGAAGGTGAAGACAGTAACCTACACAGCAGCAGCGGGGAAGGAGTTTCCACCTACCCCACTGGACCACACATAGTAGGTGTAAGCCATGGCTTCTTTTTTGTTGAGTTTGTAGACTTGCTGCAGTTTGTCCGAATAGACGTTCGCCTCCACTTCCTCATTGGCAAAGCTGCGGACAGTCTTCATGGCTGATATGGTTTCCTCAGCGGTGTTGTTGGCTTTTGCCAAAGCATTCTGGACCTCTTTGGAGAGTTTCTAAATAGTGGGCACAGAGAGGGAGGGAAGAGAGGAGGGCTGTCCCATAACCAAGAAATGGAATGAGCCTACTTAAGGGTTTCCCAGACTTTCAGAATTTGGGAGACCCCAACAAGTCCCAGCAACAAGTCCCAGTGGAATTTCCTGCCAAGGAGTGTGGTGGAGTCTCCTTCTTTGGAGGTCTTTAAGCAGAGGCTTGACAACCATATGTCAGGAGTGCTCTGATGGTGTTTCCTGCTTGGCAGGGGGTTGGACTCGATGGCCCTTGTGGTCTCTTCCAACTCTATGATTCTATGATTCTATGATTCAAATGAACTACATGAACTACTACTACTACTACTACTACTACTTCTCATCATCATCATCATCATCATCAGGTTACTAAAAACCTCCAAGGCTGCTTACAACCACATTCATATAAACTGTAAACAACTAATACAATATCAGAATGAAAACCAGTAAATCCATATTGAGGTTTGGCACCATAGTCATGGCTAGTGAATTCAGGCATAACAACAAGAACACACCAAACTATACAGGTTAATATCCTGGTTTGGCAGCCCCTCACAAATATGTGAGCATAGATTCAGACATCACAGTTTGGCTTTGTGTTCCCGCTGATTCTGAATGCTACCACTTTATCAGGGAACTGTATTATATAAGCCACCACCAAGCAAAACTTCTCCCCTCTGCCCATCCCTGTTGCTGCCTGTGTAAACTGAAAGCTGAGGCACCCAGAGCAGGGCCTGAGGAGCATATCTTAAGACAACCTTTCCCAACCTTGTACACTCCAGATTTTGTTGGACTTAAACATCCATCAGCAAGCGTAGCCAACGGTTAGGGATGAGAGGTTGTATAGTCCAGGAACATCTGGAGGGTCACAGGTTTCCCACCCCTCTTGTCATCTGCTCAGCAGGTAAATCCATCAAGGCCAAGAAATAAAATAAAAATCCCCCTGGGACCTCTGCAAGGCTTCCTCCTTCAGAATTTTATGAACAGCAGCCCTGTACATCTCTGTCGCTTCTCTGCAGCTCCTTTTTGGGTTGGTATTGTACATGCAATACTACAGAACAAAATCAGGAATCCACAAACCACCAGGCCTTTTTGAATTCAGATGATAAACTGCATGAGCATGAAGACACTATAAAGTGTTCAGATTTATTTTGTTATGTTTTTATTTTCTATGATTAGTTTTGTAGTTCAAAATGGAACAAAAAGTACGGTATATCTAGAGAGAGAGAGAATGAATACATGTCGATATATCTGTATTCACACACAGAGAAGGGATGGATGAATTCTATTTTTGATTCTATTTTTTCTAGGCTTAAATTGGGTTCTCCACATTTCTGCAGCAATTGTTTTTGGAGCAGATATTGGGGGAAAATCTCATGAAAATTGACAGATTAGTGCTAATTTCTCATAACAAACACATTTTTGTATGCAGTTTTGACTAATATACACATTTTTGCAAGCAATTTCCCCAAAGATAATGGATTTTTTCTAGGTTCTTTTTACTTTTATGGACCCTTTCCCCATGCATAGGCATCTCTGTGCACATTGTTTGGTTGGTTTGAGAAGTGCAGATTAGGTAGTTTCTCATTAAGATACAAAGACAAGCAAATTTCTCCCCCATCCCTAACACCGCCCCCCCCAACAAAAGGCCAATAAACTATGCATACCCCACAGACCAGGATGTAGCAAAAACAACCCCCTCCCCTGTTCCCCTCAGTGCTGAGTAGCATTAATCTTGCAGCATGAGAGCCAAGAAACTTCTGTTGGCTGAGAGCCAGGCATTCAGTGACTCAAGCAGAGCCTTACTGAGATTGTGTGGCGCTCCATGGGACAGCCCCCCTTGCCTTTGCAGTGGGAGCCAAGCTGGGGAAGCATGAAGGACGAGGCAGAACAGGAAATGCACATTTGCAGACTTAAGCACTCCATCCAGCAGCCGATGACCTCAGGCAGCAAAGACTCAAACAGAGGCAAGCAGGCAAGGTCAGCCACTCACAAAAGACAAAAGATTAGCCAGGTGCACAGATGTCCCAACTGGTATTACAAGTTATGGCAGCGAGAGGAGAGGTAGAATGAAGAAATCACACGCAAGAGAACAATCCCCCTATACCAGAAACAACTAGGAAAATAAAGCAGCAACAAGAGGAAACCTTGGACGCATCAAAATGGAGTGGCAAGAAACCAATTTTTAGAAACATTGTATTAAATTTGTTTTAATTTGTGGCTTAATTATTAAAATTTGGAATATCAATAAAAACAAATTGGCAAAAAAGAGAAAGGGAACACCCCCCCTCAATCCCAGCTCCTGCAGGCAAGGCAGGAGGGGAGGGGTGGAAACTTGTCTTGAACAGATGGTCCTGGATTTAAAAGAAAGCATACAAAAGGTTTTCCACAAATAGGTAATGTGCTTTTGCAGGTAATAACAGTAGTGATGATGGCAGCATCAAAAGCTGGGTGGCTTTCCAGAGAGCTTGCAATCTATCTTTAAACAGCAACCTTTAGGATTCACATGATGTTTGTTTTGTTAAAGTTCAGTGTACTTCACAGAGTGGCTGGGGAAACCCAGCTGGATGGGCAGGATATAATAATAATAATAATAATACACAGTCTCTTGAATCCTTACTGTCCTGAGGCCCATGTGAAGGTGTATGGAGGACATGGTCAGACCCTGGGAGAAGCTCAGATAGTTGGAGATGGAGGACCCTAGGGAAGGTTGGCCAATATTGTTATCCTCACCTTACAACACACACTTGGCCGTTATGCCCTCTGTTTCAAAGGAGGTGGCTGGGGGAGAGAGCCTGCCATGAAAATGCAGCAGCATTACCACAGAGAGAACGTATGTATAATATTTGGAAGTGAGTCCCCCTGCCCCGAAAGACGCAGCCCTAGGACTTCCTCTCTAGAGACAGCTCTAATTTCTTTTCAAGTCATCTGAGAAGGTAAGATGACCTGCAGCTGCCTATGCCTTTTCCCCGCTTGCTTTGGCAAGAGAGACTGCAATTCCATTCCGCAGGGAGGACAAGGCAGGCAGCTGGACAACAGCGCTGCCAAGGCCAAGAAATAAAATAAAAATCCCCACAGGACCTCTGCAAAACCTTCCTCCTTCAGAATTTTATGAAGAGCAGCCCTGTACATCTCTGTTGCTTCTCTGCAGCTCCTTTGGTATTAGAGCAGCCAATAAAACAAGGTGCATGGGCTTGGAATATAGGACCGAAATTGTACGTGCAATATTGGAGAACAAAATCAGAAATCCACGCACTGTCAGCCTTTTCAAATTCAGAAGATAAAATGCATGAGCACTAAGATTTATTTTTTAATGCTTTCTTTTCTTTTGATGATTAGTTTTTGTGGTTAAAAATGGAACAAAAAATATATGAGCGAGAGGCACTCAAGAGATGGTGTGTGAAAATCGGACAGTTCTCAGAAACTGCTCAGTCTTTGCCAGGAGATTGCTCAGGACACACCAAATTTGCTGTGGGAAAGGATATTAGCTCAGTGGTTAAAGTATCTGTTTTGCATGCCAAAGGTCTCAGGTTCAATCCCTAGCATCTCTAGGTGGGGCTGGGAATGTTCCCTGTCTGAAATCCTGAAGAGCCACTGCCAGTCAGTGTACTGAGGTAGATGGAGCAACGGTCTGACTTGGTAGAAGGGCAGCTTTCTATGTGCCTGTGTCCCCAAAGCAGAACACCCACAGGCAAACAGACAGACAAGCTCTGAGAATGACCTCTGGGGTCAGGCTTAAAAGCTACAGATAACACTAACCTTGTAGTACTTCCCGTAAAGATCTGACATGAGCATGATTATGGGGAATCCCATGAAGGTTACCAGGGAGAGCTGCCACGAGAGGCTGAACATGAAAACTATCACCCCCGTGGCCTTGACCATATTGCGCAGGAAGATGTTGATGTTCTGCGACACCAGGTCACTCACAATCGTCGTGTCCGACGTCAGCCGGGAAATAATGTCACCTGAGAGAGAAAGAGAGAGAATGAGAACAGAAGCAATGTGTGAAGAGCAAGATCCATAGGCTGGAAGGGGCTGGGCAGGGGGCAAAATGGGCTTTCTCTGCTCACAGAGACAACCCTGCCTATTTGTTGAAATATGCACATTCTCTATTAATTATTCTTATTATTAAAAAATAAAGTGCTACAGTTTAATGTGCAATCCTGGGAAATACATATTTGAAAAATGATCTATGCAAGGATGCAAAGCAATTTTCTTTTAAAAAGATCAAATCAAAATACCATAAATAATTATGAAAAGCAGCAATAAAATTAGCAAATAGCAATAGCTGTAACAACAACAACAAAACCCCAGCCAATCAATTACATTTTCTTTAAAAGAAGAAACAGAAAACAGAACTTGACCCCACTTATAGGCTGGACTGAAACCCAAACCAGGGCCTGTTCCAGCTGGAGTGTGCCACCCTTGTACAACGACCACAGATTGCCACACAGGAAGGGCACCGAGGAAGGGGCCGTAGTTCAGTGCTAGAGGATCTGCTTTGCATGCAGAAGGGCCCAAGTTCAGTCCCTGGCATCTCCAGGCACAGACTTCCTTGTCTGAAACTCTGGAGAGCTGCTGCCAGTCAGTGTGAGATTACTGAGCTAGTGGGCCAGTGGTCTAGCTAGATATGACCACTTCTTAGGCAATCTACCAAGAGTTACAAGTTAGGGGTTTATCACAAAATAAACCCAATGTCTTCTCCCACTCCAAACCGTTTGCACCAAGGCTGACTGATCAAGGAAATTTTTCTGGCTCTCACACTGATTTTGGCAGCAGCAAAAAGGAAAAATAATACAGTGGTACCTCAGATTAAGTACTTAATTCGTTCCGGAGGTCCGTTCTTAACCTGAAACTGTTCTTAACCTGAAGCACCACTTTAGCTAATGGGGCCTCCTGCTGCCGCTGCTCCACCGGAGCACGATTTCTGTTCTCCTGAAGCAAAGTTCTTAACCTGATTTCTGATTTCTGGTAACCAGATTCTGGTAACCTGAAGCGTATGTAACCTGAAGCGTATGTAACCCGAGGCACCACTGTAATCAGTATGACACTGAGGTACACAGAAAGTTTTAAACCTCTCAGCCCAGCCCAGCACCCCAACGGGGATGCAAATTGTTCCATTCACACCCTGCATGTGTGTCCTGTACATGAGAGTATACTGTAAAAGAGTGTGGGTGTGCGCTCACACATGTGTGAGAGTGTGGGTCTAGCATGTGGCCCCCAGAAGAGTGGGCCAATTATGAATGTGGCTCTTGGACCCAAAAATGGCTGGGTATCCCTACTTTACTTTTTAAAAAAGGATCATCCAAATGGGGATGTGACTGACTGACTGACTGACTGTGCACTCAGGTGCTCCAGTCAGGTTCTGGTCACCTCCACTCCCAAGAAGGAAACCTACGCCATTGAGAGATGAGTGTCTACCAAAGAGGAAGAGAAATAGTGCATAATTCTAGGTGTGTGATTGTGCAGTTTCTCAATATAGCCTGATTCACTGGAAAGTACTAATCATTTTTCTGCATCTGCAACACAGAAGTACAACCAAAGACTACAATAAACCCTTCCCTAAATGGTTCTTTGACTTGCAGAGGGGCTATGAATATGGTAACACACAGGGCCAATGTGCCCTTTAACTGAGCCCCAGTTCATCATTTGCTTCCTGCTGCAGATCTGAGAAATTCAGCAAGTGCTCTCTCTCTCGCTCTCTCTTTTTCTCCGGAAGGCAAGGAGCCAAGGATATTGTGGTGCCTTCTGGTCAGAGAAAAGCTTGCTGCCAGAACCCTCAACACAGAGGGCAGACCACAGAGAGGCTGAAGCACACCCTTAACTCAAAAACCCTTTGGGCCAGGATCCAAAAAACTGTGCAGCTAGTTGCATCTATGCAAGTGGTGTGTATGTTTCTTTAACAGTGAGCTCCCCTCTATGTCTAAAATTGCAAAGAAGAGTTTGTTCCAAACCCATATTTGCACCTTGAGCATTTACATCCAGAGGCCAATGTTCTGATTGCTTCAAGGAACGTATGAAGCCCTTATACTAAGCATCAGTTCGTTTAGCTCTATATTGTCAACACAGACTGGCAGTGGCTCTCCAGGGTTTCAGACAGGGAGCCTTTCCAGCCCTAACCTGGAGTTGCTGGGGATTCCACCTGCAGCCTTTTGCATGCAAAGGAAGTGCTCCATCACAACGGGAGTACTTCTACAGACTGCTATAATGCTGTGAGATGCAGTTGGCTGGATCATTGATATGGCCAGTGTTTTTTTCCTTAAAAAATGTTTAGGGGTAGTCTTATTGTGACTCAAGAAAATCACCATTTTATAGTTCAAATCAGGAAAAATAAATACAGTAAATGGACAAAAGTACAAAGATTCACAAAATGTTTAGGGGTATGTGTACCCCCAGGGAAAAAAGCCCTGGATATGGCAGAGCATGATGCCCGCAGCAGGAATAATACATAGTGGGCTCTCCAGGCTTCCTTAAGCAGCTCTGCTCACCCGGCTTGCTACCACCTGCCTTTTCCCCAATCCCTACATGTGGCGTCATGTTTCTTTCATCCATCAAATCCTACTTGAAGCTCAGCTCTGCCGTGAAGCCCTTGGGCCTCACCCGCAGCCAGAACGGAACCTAGCCATGTGTACCTGCATTTCCACATGCCAGGGCCATTAGCAACGCACATCCCACTCCTTCCTGCTCTTCATTGTTCTCTCACACCGTCATCACTTAGTTCAGGGCGGCCCAACTTCTCATACCAAGTAGGCCACAAGAGTGCCTCAACTTGGAATCCGTGGGCCTTGCCTGTGCGCTGGGAGGGGGGAGCAAGCCCAAAATTTGACACCCCCGCCAGCCCTCACATTGCCTTCCCAAGTTGGCTAAGCAAGGTGCAGGCTTGGGAAAGGAGGCACAGGACTCTGGCAGCTCTCCTTCCCAAAGCTGGGGAAATGCCAACTAGGCTTTGGGAAGGAGGAAAGAGAACTCTAGACCTGTCACAGCCCTCACACCTCCTTCCCAAAGCCCAGGGCTTCCTTATCTGGTTTTGGAAAGGCAGTGCAAGGGGCCGGGGGTGGGGTGGGCATCAAATGTTGCCAAGGACTTCTGAAAAGGCCTCAGGGTCAGGCGCCATGTTGGACCACCTTGGTTTAGATCATGAGCTTCTCAAGGCAGTGAGGGGGCTTATGGTTCTTGGAAAAACATTCAGATTACAGTGGTACCTCGGGATGCGAACGGGACCCGTTCCAGAGCCCCGTTCGCATCCTGAATGGAATGTAAGACGCGACGGCGCGTCTGCGGGTCGCGTTTTGCCGCTACTGCGCATGACGTCATTTTGAGCGTCAGCGCATGCGGCGAAACCCAGAAGTAACGTGCTCTGTTACTTCCGGGTTGCCACAGACCGCAACCCGAAAACGCTCAACCTGAAGCACATTCAACCCGAGGTATGACTGTAATACGCATTTCAAATTCTTGAGCACTTGGGCCATGGGTCTTTGAGCACATTCCTATCAGCCTCAGTCCCGTGGTCACTTGCACCTTCTTAACTTTTAGAGTGAGGCCAGCTGCTCTATTTAGTGCTGCTGTTAGGCTGTAGGAGTAGAGTAGGAGAGCTAGGAATACATGTGTACATAAAAATTGATACCCTCCCTTTTTCCTTGTTCCTGGAGCTCTGAAAAAGGAACTTTTTTCCTGAATGTAAAGTTTACCTTTATGGCAGGCTAGCTTTTACGCATGCACACATCAATTTCATGCAGGCAAGCAAGAAGCATTTTCAGAGTTCAATGTTAGATCCCAGCCAGGCAAAAACACTCAGATTACAAAGCAGGGTCTGGGAGGGGAGTAGGGAGGCTTGGAGGGCTGGATTTGGCCCTGGGGCTGAGGTTCTTCCTCTAAGGGGTTGATTGAGAAACAGTGATGCAATGAGTCAGTGTGCCTGGCTGTTAACCAGAAGGTTGGTGGTTTGAGCCCACCTAGGGACTGCTGTGGGCAGGATTCCTACACTGCAGGTTGCTGGACTAGATGACCCTCAGGGTCTCCTCCAACTCTATAATTCTATTCAACAGCCTGGGAAGCTTCCTTATGCCACAGTTCACCCCATAAAAGCACCTTTCTGCAAGGATGAGAATGAAACAAAAAGTTCCCACTGCTATTGTATAGATCTGTGGAACTCACATCGACAGGAAGTAGCTGCTACTCTCAGAGCCACCAAACAGACTCTTGGGCTGGGAGTATTGTTTAGGAGGTCTTGTTGCTGTTACCAATATTAATTTTTGTATCTTTCTTTTAGATCTTATTATGATGATTCCTGTGGAAATTGTTCAGTTTGGTTGTGTGCTTTTTGATGTTTAATTTATTTACTGGTACTTTTGATGTTTGTAAATATGTCAATTTTCTTCATGTTGTAAGTCTGAGCATGGTTTGAACAATGGAAAGGGGGCGTACAAATAAAATGATGGCTGTAAAATGGGAATAATGAGTTGCTGCAAGTACTAAATGTCTGTCCTGGACACAATTAAGTGGCACTGAAAAGCAATCAATATTGTTGTTTCCTTGTGGATTATATAAAACACTTATAATTTGTTTTTCTGGTGTTCAAAGTGTGTGTGTGTGGGGGGGAATACTTAAAAACAATTGTAGTACAAAAGAGAAAAACTTTTTTTTAAAAGATGCCAAAGCCTATTTAATTCAACCAGTGCCTGCTGAAGTAAAAGGAGAAAGGTGCGGAGCCTGTGGCCCTCCAGGTGTTGCTGAACTACATTTCCCATAATCCCTAACCACTGGCCATGCTGGATTGGGCTGCTTCCTTAAAAGAGGTTCAGAGTGAGAAGGCGTTTGTTTCTGGCCACTCCAAAACAAAGGCCTCGCTTCCCCTTAAGTCACAGCTATCACAGTCAAAATCTCTTCTGTGAGGCCATATGGAGTGGGGGCTTGATCATCTGAGCATAATGCCCATAAACTTGTGGGATTACCAGTAAAAATACACAAATGCATGATTACCAGACAGGCACATGAGGGCCTGACAGTCATAGAGTTCTTGAATCAATATAGAAAAGACTGTATGAGATCACTTCCTTAATGTTTTTGTGGGAATTTCTAACAAAGGAGATATTTTGTACGTCCTTTTTGCCTGAGTGCTCTCTTTCTCTTTCTTTCAGGCCAGCAATATGAAGAGACGTACATGCCTTGGCTCTGCTCAGAACCCAGACTCCATTTAGAAAAGTAATTTTGTATTTTGTAACTAAGAAGTGTTTTTACCTGCATACTACTGTGATGTATTTCCTGCCTGCATTGAAATGTAAGTAAACCTTTTTGCTTTTACTAAAATATGTGTTTTCATTCTCAGCAATGAGGACAAGGAGAGGAGAGGTCAGCAGACCACAAATAAACAGGGATAAAATGTGTAATTGCCTAATTCCTAGCTTCCAATAAGCTGCAAAAGTGCATAAGTGGTTTTCATAGCCTGTTTACTCTCATATTTCTCCCACATACATGGGACAGGAGGTTTAAATTTAAATTTACAGATTTAATCCTCAAACCATCTCCATCACAGCTGATACAGGGGGAGGTCATCCTTCAGGCCCCCAGTTTAAAGCCTCCCCCACCCCAATAGTTATACTGGAGATATTCCCGGTTGTGTAATTCTATGTGCCTCCATTTCCTGACATGAAAAAGCTCTCACAGCACAGATAAAAGAAACCCACCAGTAAGGTTTTCATCAAAGAAACTCATTTCCTGTGAGACCAGCGACCGGAAGAGGCTGTTGCGTAGCCGAATGTTCAGCCTAGCGAACACGAGGGTGAAGACTCCGCCCCGGATACCTGCGGCAAATGAACTGATTGCAGATAAGAGACGTTATAGGACAGACAGACACCGACACACCGATACCTCAGCCCAGTCCTACCATGCAAGAGGAAGAAGCCAAGGCAGAACCTGGGGACAGGCCCAGCCAATGTGTTGCTGGCTCCAACTCCCATCAGCCCTGACCTGGACTGATGGCAGCTGTGGTCCAGCGACATCTGGAGACCAGCACATTGACCACCCTTGTCATGGGACACAGGAGCACCAAGTGCTTCAGAGGCTCTGACGACCACCCCAAGAGTTTCACATTTCACTGCACTTGCTCAATATCTGGAGTGAGCCAGCAGTCTAGATCTGGCCTAGAAGCCACTTCCTCAGCCTTCTGGAATCCCTATGAAATTTTGGTCAAGAGATGGTGGACGTTTCTTTATGAAAGCTTTCACTGCTTGAGAGTGTGAAAGGTGTTTTCAAGTTGTGAAGCAGAAGGTCAGATGTGTCCTTACAGATATTGTTGGACTTCAGCCCCAGCCAGTCTGGTCAGTGCAGTAGAGTTACTTTAGTTTTTAAAAAATGAAGTGCCGGTACTCGTATATTGATAAAAGTTTTGTGGGTGCGATCACAAAACGGCTGCCATGGGCAGCAAAAATGTCATCGAGAGACATGCATGCAACATGTGATTCCTATCCAGAGTGTGTGAGAGGAGTTAAAATGAAAAGGGAAGTAGAATATGGACCCTTATTTTTAAAAGTACGCAGATCAGTGCCTCCTGAGCTGTTGGCATATGTGAACATCTTCCCAGGGTGCCTCAGTCTCTACACCAAAGGTAGTCAATGTGATGCTCTCAACATGCCATTGGGTCACTTCCTCCATCACCCCTGGCCACTGGCCATTGCCGCTGGGGTTGGTGGACGCTGCAGCCCAACAACATCTGCAGGGCACCACAATGGCTACCCCTGCTCCACAGCTAAGAAAGGAATTTCCTTTCTAAGAAGAATTCTGGGACTAAATTGAATAGGATCCTCTCTGCAAGTTAAAAGAAGCAGCAGGGGATGGATTCCTATACTCAGGCCCCAACTATATGGAAGATAACTCCACCACGTCACATTATGCATGACAAGATTATCCAGCCCGCCTGTGGGTCAATTATTCCAGTTTGGTCCAACTACTCAAGTAAGGCTACCTTCCTATGGCCAGAAGGGCCATGATGACCACTGCTGTGGAGAACTGCTCCATACTCTTCTGGATTACTATTCCATCAATGGCCCGGCCTGTGTAGTACGGAAGGAATGTCTCTCCTGTTGGAGGGGATGACAAGGCAGATTAAAGGCAAAAACCCAAGAAGGATGTAAAGACAAGAATCCCTGTTGTTACCTTCAAACACATTCGGCCCCTTGCTGTCTTCCCAAGCCCTGAAAAGGAAGGGCAGCGGGGGCCCAAGGGTCAATGTCCCAGGGGCTGCGTCCAACCAAAGGTAAAAGTGGGAATCTTAGCTCTGTATAGCAGGCTAATATTTTTTTTTTATGTTTTAACTTGGGGAAGAATTCAGTGTTATGCTAAGGTGATTCCGTCAGGGCAAGCATTTCACTTCGCAAGACGGAGCAAACCCCCCCCCCTCCTGCATGCTGTTTTTGGGGTCCTCCCAACCCCCCAAAGTCAAATTTGGGGGCACAGAGATTGTGCTGGGGGAGAAGAGGTGGAAACAGTGCTTCTACTAACAGGCTTCAGTTGAATCCCACCCTTTGATTTTTACTGATTATTTTAAGGTATATTTTATGCTCTTTGTAAACAGCTTAGGGCTGTTGCTTACAATTAAACAGTATACACATAACGATTAAATTTTGAATATAAATATAAAATTCCAACTGTACAAAAAGCAGAGATTTACGAGCACACAAACCACTGTCCAGGCAAGCAAATTGCTTTACTGTGGTTCAAGGGTGCCTCCTAGCCACAGAGCAACACTTGAGGAGGATGCGATAATGAGGCCAGTGAGGGATGTGGCCTGCAAGAGGGACACAGGATGGGCAAAGCCCTAAGGGCTTTGGGTCTGAGCTGCCACACCCCTGACATTTACTTGCATCTGCCAGGGGGATGCTGTGGCCAAGAGCATTGGACAGGGGACCTGGGAGAGAAGCGTTCAGACCTCAACTCAGACATGAAACTCACTGGGTGACCATGGGCCTGTCACAGTCTCTCAGCCCAACCTCATCCTCACAGTGTGGCTTGGGAGGATAAAACGGGAACAGCTATGTACGGTATCTTGAGCTCGTTGGAGGAGAGGGATATAAACACAGTAACAAACCACCTGCCTGCAGTGTATATACAACTGGAAAGCATTATTAGGGGAAGGGCCACAACTCAGTGATAGAGAAACCACTTGCCATGCAGGTGGTCTCTGGTTCCATCCCCGGCACCTCTAGGCAGCGATGGCCGTGTCCCCTGTCAGTAACATTGGAGAACTTCTGCCAGTCCAGACCTCTCTATTTGGCCCTTGGACTCCTCCCAGGCCATACTCCCTCCTCTGGTTGTTTTCCCTGGCTGGGATTTATCCTTGAACTGCAAAAGTGCCTCTCGCTTGCTGGACTGGAGAAATGTATGCACCAAAATCTCTCACTTTTGTGTGGCTGAACTATACAAAGTTAGCAGTCTGTCCGCTGCCTCTGCAAGTCTGACCCTGAGGGAATGCTGCCCTCAGGCTCCCCACGCCTGGGGCTCATCCACACTTCTGCTCGTCCCATGCCTAGAAAGCAAGGGGCTGAGAAGTTTTCCGCTTGTCCTGCGCTTGCTAGACAAGGGCCCAAGCAGTCTTCTGTTTGCCCTGCCACTTTTTCTGGGAAAACCCACTCTATAGCAAACGGGTTGAATTGGAGTAAACATCAATCCATGGAAAACCTGATTGGCATTTGCTACAATTCAGCGGTAATGATTGGGTTTCCTAAGGAGAAAATGGCAGGACAAGTGGAAGTCTGAATGAGCCCCTGGTGTAGACAACAATCAAGTAGATGGGCCATTGGTCCAATTCAGTATAAGACAGCTTCCTATAGTCTCACCAACGGATGTACTCACCTAAAGCAGCCACTAAGAGGAAGAAAAAGGCCACTACAAGGAAGTGAACATCTGGTTTGGTGTAAGACAACAGCTTACAAATGGTGGCTGCTGACGCCTCCTCTTTCTTTTCCTGGGCATCAGGCAAACTTGGATCCCCAATTTCTTCTGCTTCAGTCCTAGATTCGGAATTTACTCCCAGAGTCTCCCTGGCAGGCCTCACCGTGGAAAGCAGCTGCCACAAGGAGAAGGTGGCCGCCAGGGACACGTATGTCCAGGCAAACAAACCCCAAAACCAGGGGTCTTTGATGGTCTTCCTCACCTCCGAGTAGAGCAGCAGCTTGACCAGGGCGTAAATCCCCACCGCAAGGCAGACAAGTGTGATAAAGATCCGGGATCCTTTCAAGCGCTTGGGACCATAGTTGGTGTTTCTCGCAACCCCAATGGCAGCCCCCAAAAGAACACAACTCCGGTACAGGCAGGCCCCCCAGATGTCCAGCATGGAGTCGAATATGTTGAAGTGCTTCAGATCCTGAAGGAAGCTGCCACCACTGCGGCTGTGTTTGTACAGCAAGGTGGTCACTGTCACATCCAGGCCTGTGAAGGCCAGAGTGCCGACCACGGCTTTCCAGGCATGCATAATTTGGATGGTCCTGGCGTGAGGTAGAGGCAGAGAAACAGCTGGAGACCCGGAAGGGGAAGGAGGAACAGAAAGCCTCCTAGTCGAGGGTCAAAGCAAACATGTTGGACCAGCCCTTTCTGGAAGAGAGAAAACAACATGCAGGTATAATGGAAGGTGGCACAGGGGAACTTCAGGCTGTATCACCCTCTCCAGCCACGGTGGGAAAATACTGCTTTATGGCAATGTGGTGGATTAGGAAATGTTTACAACCCATTTGAATTCAATAGGCCTTATTTCTGAGGAGACATGGTTAGGACTGCACTGTGAGTTTATCGACTCAACAGGAGTTGTATCTGAGTAAACATGCTTTGGGTTCCACTCCATGGCTGAAAAAGAGCTTTGTGTTCCTTCCCACAACACACACAGCAGATGGAACAGAGATCCACATTTTCCACAAGTTGCTGGTAGAGTGAAGTGGCTTTCCCAGAAAAGGGAGGCTCAGAAAACCAATATCTGCAATCCTCTGAAGTGGAGGTTGTGCTTTGGGTTCAGGCTGTGTGCAGAGGTTCTGTCACAGTAAGATATATTGAATTTTTCAACTTTCAAATTCCAAAAATGAGGGCTTCTAAAAAGTTGTTACGTGACTTGGGAATTTGAAATATATTTTGGTTAAATTAATATAATTTAGTTTTGCTTGGTAAGCAAATGTGTAAAATTACATAAAAATCATTTTAAATGGTTGCCAAGTACTTCCAGTTATATTATATATTAATATTGTATATTATTATTGTTTAGCATTGGCTGACATTTTCAAAGGTAAATTAAAAATTTGTTGGTTTTCCTAAAGTAGTTTATGTGCTTCTTCATCAAACAGAGACTTACCAAGGTAAATGTTGTCGAATCACAAAAATAACGCCCTCTGTGTCCCATTCCCCATGATTCACTATCCTGTCCAAGCACAGCTGCCTCACAATCCTTCAGGGATGCATAAATTCATGGTTAGCAGGCTGTGTTAATAAGTGAAGGGGTACAGATTTTTAAAAAAGGGTTAAAGATAATAAATAGCACTATTCCCCCCTTTTTTGCCAAGAACAATCATTTCTGTAGCAGATAAAGCATTCCAGTCCACAATAACTTGTGTATTAGCACATGTGGAATTGTACAGTTCTTCTCTGGGGTAGCTAGGGTTTTTAATAAGCATATAAGCATTTCTTCAAAAGGAAGCAGACTCCCCATAACTCAATATCCCAACCATCACCACCCCACTAAAATATCCTGCTCTGTTAAGTTTGGCTGGCACAGGTGCCGTTTCCCCAGCGCTGGAAGAGAAGCAAGCAGCAACTCTGGCCAGGCGAGATTTGGACAAGGGGCTCCTACCTTTAGCAAAAATCATGGCCCTGCCGTTGCCCCCCACCTGCCAGTAAAAGACCAGGTGTGAATAACTTCTCTTATCAATGCTAGGTGTCAACATTTTCAATTTTTTAAATGGAAACAAACAAACAAACAACACTTCACCCAGGTTACCTGATGCTCCCCTCATCTTTCGGGGGTGCTAGTTGGGTAGACTTTTAATGCCAAAATGTGCTTAAATGCCCACCTGGCAACCAAGTCCTGCCATTACCATCTACTCACAAGAAACCCTAAAACTTTTAAACACTGAAGAGAAGAGAACTCAGGATAACAGACCTTTTCCCCTTACAGGCCTCCTGACTGTTGCCATGGAGACAGAACAGGGGAAGAGGGTTGGTTCCTTCCTGAGCAGATTTAAAAACTAAACAAAATGGGGAGCCGTTCTGCTGGGAAATGTGGCAACACCTGTCCTGAAACTGGGGTCCCCCGCGATACAACAGCGACGGGGAACCTGTGGTCCTCCAGATCTTGTTGGGACTCACAACTCCCGTTGGCCCTGCTGGAAGGCCACAGGCTCCTCATCACTAATATAAGAGAGACTAGAAACCAAACTCCAGCATGGAAGGAAGGAGCGCAGAAGAGAGAGAGGGCAGCTGAAATAACTCCTGGGGGAGCAGCTGTGCTAATCCGCTGCAGCAAAGGCAAAGGCAATTTTTGAAACGGCATCAGGGGCTTTTGCGGACAAACAGCGAGATGCTTCTGTCAGATTAATGAAAGGTTCTCCTCAGCTGGTAGAGGCATTTAAGTCATATATTTATTTACATGCCCAAATAGGCTTCTAAGTGGTTTTAACAAAGTATTTAGAAGTATACAAAGTATATGGTGGGGGAGGGCAGGAAAGGTCCTTTTCTGTGGCATGCCCCGGGCCCCATCTCTTTATAGTTTTAGGCAGCTGGTTAAGACGTATATTCTTCAGCAGCTATTAGCGGCTGTTCTTTAGTCATTGGTTATGTGTTTTTAAGGATTATGTGATTTTATGTATGGAGGGGGCCAAAAGACTACAAAGAAGTATAGTCTGCAACATAAGAGCAGAAATGTCAGACTGCACCTCTCTCTTTCATTCATGTTATTGGGCCTCCCTGTTTTACACTCCCTCCTCTTCTAAACCCACATACATGCATTTGTAAGGTAAAGGCAAAGGACCCCTGGATGGTTACCGTATTTTTTGCTCTATAAGACTCACTTTTCCCTCCTAAAAGGTAAGGGGAAATGTGTGTGCGTCTTGTGGAGCGAATGCAGGCTGCGCAGCTATCCCAGAAGCCAGAACAGCAAGAGGGATTGCTGCTTTCACTGCGCAGCAATCCCTCTTGCTGTTCTGGCTTCTGAGATTCAGAATATTTTTTTCTTGTTTTCCTCCTCCAAAAACTAGGTGCGTCTTATGGTCTGGTGTGTCTTATAGAGCGAAAAATACAGTAAGTCCAGTCAAACCTGACTATGGGGTGTGGCACTCATCTCGCTTTCAGGCCGAGGGAGCCAGTGTTTGTACACAGACAGCTTTCTGGGTCATGTGGCTAGCAGGACTAAACCACTTCTGGAGCAACGGGACACCGTGACAGAAGCCAGAGCGCACAGAAACACCATTTACCTTCCTGCCACCTATTTATCTACTTGCACTAGTGTGCTTTCAAACTGCTAGGTTGTCAGAAGCTGAGACAGAGTAACAGGAGCTCACACCGTTGCATGAATTCAAACTGCTGACCTTCTGATCAGTAAGCCCAAGAGGCTAACAGTAATACTAACAAGAATACACCTGGTGTTTGCTGCATTTGATGAAGTGGGCTAAACATCCTTTTTAAAGGCTAGCCTGCAAAAAATATGCTACTCACCCTCCCCCCCAAAAAACCCTCCTTAAGCTCATTTGAATTAGACATTTTTGTCTCCAAAGGCAGTGACAACAGCCACTACACACCCTCCTCCCACCTGCATCACAACACAGATGTACTAAAGGGGGGCGGGCAGAGGATTTTTTGCATGTAACAGTGTCCCCTGCTGGTAAAATGCACACATTAATGCAATATTCTTTTCCTCTCAAGCATCCTACCTTCAAGGACTCCTTCCCACTTAAGACCACCGATTTTTTAATTGATAAGAAATACTTTGCAAAACAAAAAGCACTCGATTTATAACGTGGAACACATCAACTTTATAATACGGGGCATCTAGAAAGTATAGAACAATGTAGCTATATTAGAACATGAATCATTCCCAAAATACAATTATAAACAAGCCTCTTACCTATGTACCTTATGTATACAAACATAATGGAAGGTGTGAACTTGTTTTTGCCAGGTAATCTCTCTCATACTGTGTGTGTGTGTGTGTGTGTGTGTGTGTGTGTGTGTGTATGGTCTAATTTGAGACAAAGAAACTCTCATCTCATCAACACCAAGAAGTCTCTCTTTTTTCTGTTCTTTCATATTTGTCAGAGTTGGAAATCCTAGTTCACAACAATATGTCACTGAGAACTCTAGAAGAATAGCCAATGTTATTCTCCTGCACTCTGTTTCTGGGCACACATGCAGAGAGCGATTATGGATCACAACTAGGATTGTGATCAGCACCACTTGATGCTTTTGCTCTCATTTTGAAAAGATATCTATCCATATTCTGCTTATTTTTTTTTAAATACTATGCTATGCTATATTGTAATGTTTAAATGTTTATTTGATTGTGCTTGAATATTCCCACCACACTTGCCACCCTCTCCTGCCACACCAGTGTGGCGCACCACACTCTTTGAGAACCACTGCTCTAGACACACACAACCCAGGCTTCTTGGAGAAAAGAAATGAATTCAATAAATTTAAAAATGTTCTAGGGTGCAGTCAGGCCACAGAGATTGCTGCCTGTTGCTGTCCCACATGAAAAGAGAACGACCCAAATGCACAAATCACTCTCCTTCCAGCTTCACATTAGAGATGAAACTGTAAAGTTTTCTAGTTGACCAACTCCTTATCTATAGGGCTGCGATGTTTAACTAGTTAAAAAACTCTTATTAATACACTGTAAGCAATTTAAAAGCTGCACATAGAAGATCTTTCCTCTTTTCTCCCACACTTTGGAACGGATGCCTCTTCTAAGATGCCACCTGCACAGATCATCCAAAAATGGAGTGGGGAGGAGCAAGATTCTCACTTCAGACCGGTTGTTTTCACCCATATGCAAATTTAAGCAATTGATTGACTAGCACACACTATGGCTGTGAACCAGATCTGACCAAGGCCTGAGTCGAATAGGGCCTGTTTGGAAGGTCTCAGGTGATTCGAGCAGGCACAGACACAGATCACTGGTTGGATGAGCCAGAGCAACTTGTGGCAGTCAGCGCATCAGGCAGGACAGAGAGGCAGTGTGGGAAAATCACGCAGAAAAGCCGAGACCTACCTGACCGGTCACTGCATCTTCCAAGGAGAAGGTAGGCCCAGTGCCGTGATTCACCTTCCTGCCTGACCCCCCCAGGACTAATGTCTCCATACAACATCTTTTGAGCAGAGAGACCAGTCCTGTGGGGTACAGGAACTGCTTTGCAAGCAGCTTTTCTGCATTGGACTCTTCTTGCTTACCAGCTAGTAAGCAGATGGATCCCATCCCGTGTGATGTTGGCCGCATCCCCTGCCCCCACCCTGGGAACAGAGATGGGGTGGGTGGCCCCCGGGACAGCACAGGGCAATTTGGCCTGATCCAGGGACCACATCCACCAGAGGGCAGATTGGAGTGGGTGTCTGTACACAGTCCTAGCACACACATAACTGACTGAGAAAGCTTGGGTCATTACTTGGGTAACAGCCCAACTTTTTAAACGGACTTTAGGTATAATTGTGTGCAGGGGTTATATTTTTATTACATATGCATCTGACCCTACCTTCACAGAATTCAAAGGTACACATGATCCCCTCCTTCCAATTTTATCCCCACAACCCCCCTGTGAAATTAGACTGAAAGAAGTGATCAGCTCAGAGTTACCTAGTGAGCTCTGTGATTGAATTAAAGGTAAAGGTACCCCTGCCCGTACGGGCCAGTCTTGACAGACTCTAGGGTTGTGCGCTCATCTCACTCTAGAGGCCAGGGAGCCAGTGCTGTCCGCAGACACTTTCAGGTCATGTGGCCAGCATGACAAAGCTGCTCCGGCGAACCGGCACCAGAGCAGAACACGGAACGCCATTTACCTTCCCACTAGAAAGTGGTACCTATCTACTTGCACTTAATTGTGCTTTCGAACTGCTAGGTGGGCGGGAGCTGGGACCGAACGACGGGAGCTCACCCCGCCGCGGGGATTCGAACCGCCGACCATGCGATCGGCAAGTCCTAGGCGCTGAGGTTTTACCCACAGCACCACCCGCGTCCCTGTGATTGAATTAGCCTGGCACTATTATAACTCAGCCTTCCCCTGCCTGGCTGGTGCCCTCCAGATGTTTTGGCCCACGTCTCCCACCACCCCTGATTATCTGCACTGGCTCAGGCTGAGAAGGGTTGTAGTGCAAAACACCTGGAGAGAGTTACGGGGCTGGGGAAGGCTGCTCTGACCATTAGTCATCTCTTGACTCTCAATTAAGTTTCCTGAATGTCTGGGCCCCTTTCTCTCTTCCACCCCTGCAAAAAGCATTTGTTTTTATTTTAGCTGCAATGAAGAAAACCTACCAACATCACCTCCTTGAGCTTTGTCTCTCTCAGCGTAACAGATCAGGTGCCCTTTAGGCAGCATATTTGAGGTGTCATGTTGCCATTTTTTTGCTCAGGTTGTAGAATCAAGAATCCTCATCAATATAGTTTAACTTCTTTAGTCAAATACAAGGACTGGAGAATTGAGGAAGGGCGGGGGATGCTTCAAAGGGGGAAAATGAATTCTAAAACACACTCACATATGCACACAGCAGTGTCAACTCTGAGTACTGCTATTTATGACACGGCTCATATTTTGGGCATCTATTATTATTATTATTATTATTATTATTATTATTGCTGGCCTTAGTCTTTTTACACCGAAAAACAAGGCTTATTGAAACCCATCATTTTACAAAAACAGTGCAATCCACAAAACGTTTACAGTTTTGCAAATTCTATTATTCAGAATTTGAAGTCTACCATAACCACTTTGACAGCATCTTATCCTAAATGTCTGAAGGCAGGATGAGTTACTTAGTGGTAAAGGGCAGAACCCTACATATACTCAGAGATACCTTATTGCCATCATATAATCCAGGACCGAATCCGGTCTCTCATAGTTGGGCTTGGTACATATGCTAGAATCAAAATTACACCGATTTCTAAAAAAGAATAAAATCCTAGTTATTCAAACACAAAAGAATGAGTATGGTACCACCCCCCACCCTAAAACAGAGCTGCTTTGCTGTTAACATCTACATAACAGACAACTATTAATCTGCTCAATGTTTTACCATCACTGCAGCTTCAAAACCAGGAAACAGTTTAGCTGTTTTAAAGTCCAAAATCTTTGATTATACACACACCAACACATATTTGGGGGGGGGGTTGTCATCAAATTATGGTGGAAAGGCTCACTAGATCTAGAATATGTTTTTGCCAAACTTCTGTTCAAAACAATTAGGCTTGTTAACAGCATAGTAAACACTGGCCAGCTCAGCTAAATAGCCAGAGGAATCTGCCAAGTCATCCCACTTAAGATAAATCTACAGGGGAAAAAGATTCAAATACGATCTTCCTGCAGAAAAGCCTAAAGAAGCCTAATAAATCTGCCAGCTCCATTTAACACTCATCTGCTAGAGCTGTTCTCCTTTTAATATACTCCTAACAGGCAATTAAATGTTGTCTGATTTTTATTGTGGCATTGCTCACATATATATATCTGTATTATCCACAGTCTGCTAGGGGTGGACCTCCTTAGCTCAGTAAAACACCTTGCCTTTCACGCAGAAACTCCCAGGATCGATCCCTGGCCTCTCCAGATGAAAGGATCCAATAGCAGCTATTGTGGAAGACCCCTCTCTGTGCTGGGAGGGAGTTATCGGAGCTGACAGTCAAATGGCGGAGATGGGGAATTAATCTGCCCCGAGTTGCTAATAAGGCAGTTTCTTGTGGTCTTTCTGCAGCACCCTGGCAGCCAAGGTGCCCAAACACTTTGCAACAGATTCAAAACGTAAGAGAGGATGAGAGAAACTCAGCCAGAGCAAGCATCTCCGTGGAAAAAAACAAAACACTTTTCTATAGGAGAAAGGTGG